TCCCACAGGGGGGAGCAGCACTGCAAGAACAGCCGCTGCTTATGCGCCACACATCCAACGAGCACACTGAGCAGCAGCTCGAGCAGCTCGACCGCGCCGAGAAGAGAAAGCTGGTGGCGGTAAAGGCGGAGTACGAGCTGCTTATGAAGTTCATGGCAGTGGTGCGGCGCAACCAAGGCGAGAAGGTGTACGACAACCACAAGATCGAAACCAAGGGTCGGTTTGCCGTCGTCATAGGGAACTACCACCCCGCCTGCGCAACTTACCGAGCCACGTTCAAAGTTGAGTATCACATCAAGCGCCACCGCTGCGACGATGACAAGATGCGCGTCTGCTTGCATACTGTCAAATAGAGCTGTTACTTCACTTGTGCCGCCAACGGAGAGCAGTCCAACATCGTGTGCGTCGTTGAGTACCGCGGCTGCGACGACGGCAGCGTGCGCATCTTCTTGCACTTTCGTTCCGCGCAGTTCGTGCCCACGCAGGAGGAGTCCGAGAACTCGCGGCAGGAGAACCTGAAGGCGGAGCTCGAGCCGCGCGCGAAGCTCATGGACGAGGCGCGGGGACACACGCTCGCGGATGACGTTGACAACGTCGCTGGACGAGCCCTTCGCCAGCGCCATGCGCTGCGGAGTGCGCGGCGCCACAGGAGGCACTAGGACGAGCCCTTCGCCGAGACTGCGCGCGACAGAGTGGCGCAGTACCGCGGGGGCGCTGCGACGAGCCCTACGTCGACATCATGCGCTACGGAGTGGAGCTGTCCCGCAGGAGGCACCGCGACGAGCCCTTCGCCGACGTCATGCGCTACGGAGCGGAGCAGTGCCACGAGAGGCACTGCGACGAAGGAGCGTGCCGAAGGGCGCGCGCCGCCAGTCCCGGCAGCTTTTGTTTTCGCTTCTAGGCCAGACCCCCCGGCAGCTGCTGACTCGGGGTCGGCAGGGCGTGCGCAGCCAGTCTCAGAAGACTCAGGGCTGGGGTGTGCCGCAGGGCGCGCGCCGCCAGTCCTAGAAGACTCAGAGCTGGAGCATGCCACAGGGCGTGCGCCGCCAGTCCGAGCAGCTTCTGTCTTCTTGTCTGGGCCAGCCGACTCGAGGGCGGCAGGGCGTGCGTTGCGAGTCTCAGCAGACTCAGAGCATGGGCATGCCGCCAGGCGTGCGCCGCCAGTCCTAGAAGACTCAGAGCTGGAGCATGCCGTGGGGCGCGCGCCGCCAGTCTCAGCTTTTTCTGTCTTCTTGTCTGGGCCAGCAGACTCGGGGTCGGCAGGGCTGGCACAGCCAGACTCTGCAGCTTCATTCCTTGCGACTGGACCGGGCGGCCCAGCAGCTGTCGACTCGGGGTCAGCCCATCTTGACGGGCCCGAGGGCCCGCGCGATCAGCTCTCGAATCCGAGAGCTGTTCAGATGCAATCGTGGTTCCCCCCTGAACGAATTCGAGATGGTTGGCCTCGCGACGGGGCTTGCGTGGCCAGCCTGAGCCACGGTCTCTTCTCCAACCTCCGATCCTCCCAACGCTCAGCATGCAGCGAGGGCGTCGCCAGCTGTCTGCGGTTTCCCCTGGGCCGCGCGCGCATGTGTGCAGCGCCCCGTGAAGCACGGCCCCTAGCGAGCTCTTTAGGAAGCAATCGAGCTCTCTGCGACAGTTCACTTTTTCTCTGAATCCTGTTGCTCAACAGTTTGGTCCTGATGTCGAGGAACAAATCATCAGCACCACCGGCGTCCTCATCACTATCACCATCGTCATCAGCACCAACGTCAGCATCACCAGCAGTATCAGCATCATCATCACCGTCATCAGCATCTTTATCATCATCATGATCAGCATCAGCATCAGCATCAGTAACATCATCAGCATCACCACCATCATCATCACCATCACCATCACCATCACCAGCATCACCACCATCACCATCATCGCCATCATCATCAGTATTACCATTCGGATTCTCATCTTGGTTCTCATCAGAATTATCCTTATCATTGCCATTATCCTTTCTCCTTTTTTTCTTGGCGTGGTATTCGGGGCCCATCCCTGACTTGGGCCCCAGGGCCAAGAAACCAGCCCCAGAAATGTTTTTGAAAGCGATCGGGCCATAGTTGCAAGGGGATCCCGCCGTACCGACGAGGGGCATCCTGGATGCCAACAGGTGGGGAACACTATCAAAGATCTTGACCCCCGACGGATGGTGATGCCGTCTTTCTCGATGCTCCAGGAGACCTGTCCTTGGGTCCCCTGAAAACCTCGACGCTTTCCCCCGGGTTGGTAGACTTGTCCAATTTGAGTAGTTTGGAAAACGGCCTTTAGAGACCGAAACCATTGAAACAAATCCGTTGCGATTGTTTCAAGGCTGTGGTTATCTGCCCCCTCTCTCCAGCAGTGGGTTCGGAGGCCCGAATTCGCCCCCCAGAATTGTCCCCGGCCCTCGATCATCGATCCTCGACCGATCCCCTGGGCCCCCAGGAGCAGTACTCCAGCTCGTCCGCCAGCAGCTTCCAGCGCGTGCTGCCCGAGCACGCGCTGGGAGCTGCTCAGTGGCCTGGCGGCCTTCTCCTTCCTACCTGGTTTCCCGCGCGGGTGGGGCATTGCGAAGTGCCAAGCTGCTCGGCCTGGCCCTCTCTCTCTGGTCTCATTGCGCAAGCTGCGCACATGAACGACGAAGGAAAACGGGTTTGTCTGCGTGGACGTTGGCGCGTAAGCTGCTCGCATAAGGTCGGCGTGAGCGCTCTCGTATCTCACGTCGCGTGCCGCACTGGCGGCCCGCGTAAGCCACCGTGTAAGGTCGCCGTGCGTTCTCGCGTAAGACCCGTTTCTGATCGTCGCTCACATGGCGCCCAAACCGAACTGTTTTGCTGCCGCGCTTCCCTCCCAGGAGCGGCGCCCAGGTTGCAGGAACAGCTGTGGAATCGAACAACCCAGGAAAGGCCGCCTAGAGCAACAGTTAGGAAACAAGACCATGCAGCTCGGGGAAGGCCTCTGGACTCAGGCCTCGCACCACTGGTTGTTCAATGAAAAACTGCTTTCTAGGCATATGTGGAAAAATCCGGATCCTCAAGCCTGGACAAATAAATCCTTTGGGCCCGCATGAGTGGTACCCCGGCCCTGGCCTTCTGTCTCTGAAATGAAGTGGCGCAAACAGCATGCACACCGCGCCCAAAACCAGATTTGTTTTGCTGTCACCCCTCCCTCCGAGGACTTCAAAAATCAAAACAACTGCATACACATTTTTCGGAGGTCCTGGCGTTTTTCTTGTATCGGCGCAGAGCCCCTCTCCCTGGCGCGCGAAGCGCGCCGGAGTACCTACGAGAATTTATGCTTATGTATTGCGTACTTCCTCCGAGGAGTGGCACCCAGGCTTTGCCTCAAGTGGCGCAAACAACAGGCAAGTAGTGCCAAAGGTTAGAACTATTGGAGAGGACTTAAGGCCGGTGCCGCCGACCATGAAGAACGACGACGACGACGACCCCGACGACCACGACGACGACGACAACGACGACGTCGACGATGACGACCAAGATGACGATGACGACGACGACGACACCGGCGGCGGCGGCGGCGAAGATGAAGACGAAGACGAAGACGAGGACGACGACGACGACGACGACGACGACGACGACGACGACGACGACGACGACGACGACGACGACGACGACGACGACGACGCCGACGACGACGACGACGACGACGACGACGACGACGACGACGACGACGACGACGACGACGACGACGACGACGACGACGACGACGACGACGAACGCGCTATGGGGTCTACTGAGGCTCTTGGGGCCTCATTGGAGCCTCGGGGGGTGTCTTGGGGCTTCCTGGGGGTGTCATGGCTGCCTCTGAGGGCGTCTTGGGGGGCTTCCCGGGGCGCATCTGGGGGCTTCCTGGAAGCCTCTCAGGCCGAGGGCTCGAAATGTCAGTTCGGGTCCCCCGTCTGGGCTTCCTCTTGGAGCCGTCTTGGGGGCCTCATGGGCTGTTTTGGAGGCCTCTTGCGCGGTCTTGGGGCCCTTTTGGTTTGTTCTGGGGCCCTCTTGGAGGCCTCTTGGGCGATCTTGGGGGCCTTTTGGGCTGTCTTTGAGCGTTGGGAAGCCGACAAGGCGAGAACGCCAACATCTTCCAAAAACTGAAGGAAATTCGGTGATGTTTGTACCTTGGGGCCCTCTTGGGAGTGCTCTTGGAGGCCTGTTGGGGACTTTTAAAGACCTCTTGAGCCGTCTGGAGGCTACTTCGGCGTCTTGGACTGATAATTGATCATTCGGCGATTCGAAGCCCGGGAGGACCGTGTTAGCGGCCTCTTGGGCCCCTCTGGGCCCTGGAATCGCCTGGCGGGGATGCGTATCTGGGGGGCGACCCAGCCCCCGGGACCCCACCCCTGGGTGTCACCCCTGGGTGTCACCCCCTGGGACCCCCTCCTCGGGACCCCCAGCGGGGAAGGGATCAAAAGGGAAGGGGCATCCCTTCGACTCAGCTACGACGTTGCTCAATGTCGGTTTGGCTGGTGCGCTTCAGGAGGCGGGCCCTGGGCAAGGAGACGGGTGACGACGGAGCCGACGGAGACAGAGACGACAAGGAGACGACGGAGACGGAGACGACGATGGAGACGACGAGGAGACGACGGAGACGACACGACGACGACGACGACGACGACGGCGACGACGATGGCGACCAACGGAGGAGCGTCTTCCACACGCCGACGGGGTCGGCGGATTTTGATCCCGCCCCTCCCTCGAGGATTGGTACCCTCCCTCTGCTGTCCCTCCCGTTGCTACCTCCTCTGTGCGGATTTCTCGGATCGGCCCGTTTTTTCTTCCTCCCTCATCCAATCCTCCCTCTCTCCCTCTATCCCTCTATCACTCTCCCTCTCCCTCGCCCTCCCCCTCCCCTTCCCCCCTCCCCCTGTCCCTCCCTCCCCCTCCTCTCCCACTCCCTCTCCCTCTCCCTTGCGCCCTCCCCTCCCCTTCTCCCTCCCCCTCTCCCGCTCCCGCCTCCCTCCCCCCGAGGAGTGGTACCCGGGCCTCACCCCGAGCTCCCCCGCGAGCAGCTTCCAGCGCGTGCTCTTCCGGCAGGGCATGGGCGGCTGCCGGCGGCCCTGCGGCGACGCCGCGGGCCCCCGCCACGCCAGCGCCCGCGGGCGTCACGAGTCCGGCGCCCCGGGCGGCTCGTCCGCCGGGCCCTCGAGCAGCAAGGCCCTTGGCCTCTCCTCTCCGTGGGGGCAGAAAAGAATTCAGACACATCCTTGGGGGGAAAAGGAGAGTACACATCACAAACAAAAATGTCCTTCGCCTCCCCCCTCTCGCTCCTCTCGTCCTTCGTCCTTCGTCCTCGTGCGTGGACTCTACCCCCCCCCCGGCGTTATCGGTCCCCCTTTCGGGTACGTAAGGTATATATGATTCTGACCACATGTCCATCCTGAAAATGAATTTACACTATCCCCGGGGGGCCGGGTTCCTCCCCTGAGGTTCCCTTGTTAAAAAACACGATGCGGTGACATTTTTCTTCTAACGCAGCACTTTTTCACGAATCCCTTGCAAAACATGGGACGAAGTGCACGCGCGCGTCGTCGCGCGCGCATTCCGAAATCCTTCAAAAATCTTCGGTACCGGAAGGATTTCGCAATCGAGTTTCCAAAAAACATACAAAAACACAGGGCTTCGTAACACTGATTTGCTAAAAAAGCTTACGCGCGAGCTCCTGCGAAATCTTAAGAAAACCATTTTTTTTTTTTTTTTTTTTTTTTTTCTCTTTTTTTTTTCTCCAATATTTGCACAGCATGCTATTAAACGGGCGTCGCGCACGCATGTCGAAATCTGTCGAACGCCCTTGCGCGTGTGCCGTCGCGAGAATCCTCTGCAAAACTGGGACGAAGTGCAGACGCGCGCGTCGTCGCGCGCGTACGCCGAAATCCTTCAAAACCCATCGGTTTCGGAAGAATTTCAAAATCGCGCGTCCAAGAAACTTACAAAAAACACAAGGTTTCGCAACACGGATTTTCAACAAAAGCGTGCGCGCACGCGCTCTTGCGTCGTCGTCGTCGTCGTCGTCGTCGTCGTCGTCGTCGTCGTCGTCGTCGTCGTCGCCGTCCTCCCTCCTCCCGTCGTCGTCGCCTACGTCGTCCTCTGTCTTTCCTCGTGTTCGTCGTCGTCGTCCTCTTTGGCGTCGTGGTCGTTTCCGTCGTCGTTGTCGCCGTGGTCGTCCTTCCTCCTCCTCCCTCGTCGTCGTCCCTCCTATTTCGTCGCCGTCGTCGTCGTCGTCGTCGTCGTCGTCGTCGTCGTCGTCGTCGTCGTCGTCGTCTTCCCTCCTCCCTCGTCGTTGTCGTCGGCGTCGCCGTCCTTCCTCCTTCGTCGTCGCTCGCGTCGTCGCTGTCCTCCCTCCTCCCTCGTCGTTGTCGTCGTTGTCGTCGTTGTCGCCGTCGTCGTCCTCCCTCCTCCCTCGTCGTCGTCATCGTCTTCGTTGGCGACGTCGTCGTCGTCGTCTTCGTCGTCATCGTCGTCTTCGTCGTCGACATCGTCGTCGTCGTCGTCAGCGTCGTCGTCGTTGTCTTCGTCGTCGTCGTCGGCGTCGTCGTCGTCGTCGTCGTCGGTGTCGTCGTCGTCGTCGGCGTCGTCGTCGTCCGCGACGTCGTCGGCGTCATCGTCGTCGTCGTCGTCGTCGGTGTCGTCGTCGTCGTCGGTGTCGTCGTCGTCGTCGTCGGCGTCGTCGTCGTCGTCGTCGTCGTCGTCGTCGTCGCCGTCGTCGTCGTCGTCGTCGTCGTCGGCGTCGGCGTCGTCGTCGGTGTCGTCGTCGTCGTCGTCGTCGTCGAAGTCGTCGGAGTCGTCGTCAGTGTCGTCATAGTCGTCGTCGGCATCGTCGTAGTCGTCGTCGTTGTCGCTGTCGTCGTCGGCGTCGGTGTCGTTGCCAAGTGCCTTTGGTACCTACCGTCAAGGTCTTAAGAGGTCTTGCGACCAAGTTGCGGGTGGGAGGGTGGGATATCTGCACGAGCAGTGGAGAGGACAGTTTCAAGGCAGTCAAAGTAGATTACACCACATAGGTTGTTCCACATAGGTTGCTAGAAACAAGCTATTTTGGGAAACGCTGGTGTTTGCTGTCAGGACGGTGGGATCTTGGGGAGTGACGGGACGAGGCCACCGCAGCTCGCATCAAAAGGCAATACCCGCGCCACCCCCCGCAAGGTCGACGGCCACCTGCGTAGCAGCGCGCGGGCGGCCGGGAGCTCGAAGAAGAAGGCCCCATGCGGGGGGGTTGCCCGCCTGCTGCCCGGAGCATTCAGGACGGCGCATTTTTCGAGTAGGAGATCGACTACATACTTAGTTTTTTGGTTCTCGTAGGGCTCACGAGAAATTTGCAGAATGTTTGTAGATCTACAAACATGTTTTTGTTTCACATTGGACGAAAAATCAAGTTTGAGGTACACAAATTCTGTAGTCGGTCTCCCATTCGAAGTCTTCAGGAGCAACTGGTAAGGCTTCGGGTTGCGTGCAGACGTGCTCGCATCGTGGCAAAAAACGAGATGGGAGGTTCTTGGCCGTTTCTGGCCTTTGGTGTCCCTTGCGGGGTTTCGGGACCGTCAAAAACGGTTCGAGATAAGAAACGGGCCCTGTGGAATGGGTCAGGGTTTCCGGAGATCGCGCATTCTAGAATCAGGGACCAGTGGTAAGGCTTCGGGTTGCGCACAGACAGCCCCCTCAGATAAATTTGGCTGGCCTCAACAAGCCCCTTGGGTAGTCCCAGCTGTCCTCAACAGGCGCCCGAGTAGCCCGGGGCGGTCTCAAGCCTGGGTGATTCTGCTGATGTGATGTGAGATCTGAAAGTCGTGAGGTGCCTCGGGAGAAGTGTTTGCTCAACCTCTTTGGGCGGGGGACATGGGCGAGGGAATGTCGGGTCCCCGATGGATTATATGAGTCCCTCATGAAGGGTGGGCTGTCATGATGGATGCATGCTGCATGTGAAAGAATTGAGCAGTTTGTCAAAGTAATTGTTGTTGCTACTGCAAGTTTCGGCTTCTGGGAGCTCTTGCAAGGCTCCAGGACTGTCAAACATCTACTCGGGATGGCGAAGAACAAGTCCCAGGGAAGGGACAACACCTCCAGGGGCCCACGCTGCAGAAATGAGCTTGGCGCAAAGCCCAACCCTTTCTTCTAAACACGTGGTGACTATAAGCAGGACCGCTTAATACGCAAGATCAAGCTGAGGGATCTGCAGTACTCCTGAACGCTTCGCCGGCAAATGTCAGACCGTAGTCAATGTTCCTCATTCACGCACGCGCTCTCGCGATTCAAATCGCACATGGGGGACTACGAAAAGTGTTAAGGGTGTGCCGGCATGGGCGCGGGGCGACGCCATGCGAACGCAGCCAATGGAGCCTTCGGTGGTGCTCCCTATACAGCAACGAAACGTGTGAGGGGTCTGGCGAACTGGAGCGAGACCATGCGAACGCAGCCACTGGAGCCTTCGATGGAGTTCTTTATGAGGCAACGACGCGTGTGAGGGCCGTGCCGAAATGGGGCGGAGCACCATGTGAACCCAGCCAATGTGGCCTTCGTTGAAGCTCTACTTGGGGCCACGACGCATGTGAGGGGTGTGCCAAGGTGGGGCGGGGCACCATACGAACCTAACCACTGGGGCCTTTCGTGGAGCTCCTTATGGGGCCCCGGAGATTGTGTGGGGTGTGCAATGGAGCGGGACACCATATGAACCCAGCCTCTGGGTCCGATGGGGCCACGAAGCGTGAGAGAGGTGCGCCGATACAGGGCGGGCCACCATGTGAACCCAGCAAGTGGGGCAAATGTTGGGGCTCCCTGTGCGGCCACGAAGCGTGTGACGGGTGTGTCGACATGGGGCGTGCCACCATGCGAACCCAGCCACTGGGATCTTCAGGGGAGCTCGCCAGGGGGTCACGAAACGCGTGTGGGGTCCGCCGAGAGGGGGCGGGGCACCGAGCTTCCCATGAGGCCACGCAATGTGTGAGGGGTTTGTGCTGAAATGGGGCGGGCCACCACGTGGACCCTGTCGCTGGGGCTTTCTGTGGAGCTACCAATGTGTCTTGGGCCTTTTGTGGAGTTCCCTGGGGGGCCACGAAACATGTAGTGGTGTGCCGAAAAGAGGCGGAACACCATGCAACCCGGCCATTGGGGCCTGCTCCCGTTGGGGTTGCGAGAAGTGTGAGGGGCGTGCCGACATCGGCTCGGCCTTGAAGCCGCGCTTCGGCGTGCACAGCAGGCAGATATTGACAATTCCCATTCTTCCTGTGCCGGCGCAATCGTACACCCCAGGGATTGGGCCCAGCCTCTCACCACCCACCAAACCACCCTAACCCAACCCAAAGGCTCAGATTTACCCTCGATTTCTAGTAGGGGGGGGGTCGGGAAACATAGAGAAAACACGCGTGGAACCCGTACCCCCCCAACCCGAAATTCGGGTCTTCGGGTTGGGTTGGGGTGGTTTGGTAGGTAGTCAGCTTCTAGTCGATTGTTCAGTCACCTGGAGCCAACATTAGTTCAAGTCCCTCGTCGGTGGAAGCACCTATGCCTTCCTCCTCCACAGTCTTCGCTGGTGGGAACACCCGCGGTGGCGCGAACGAAACGTTTCATCCGAGCGCTTCCACCCGACACCGTATGCCATTGCCCTGGTCGACATTCGGATCGCTGAGAATCGATCGGTCCCCAATGAGGTCCAATATCGAGTTGACCGTGTGGAGTCACACAAAGGTGCATAATCCACTGCCATCCAGACGCTCCGCGACTGCCCCCTCGCCATTGAGGCGCAGCTCGTAAGCGTCAGGGATACAGGCGCTGCCGCTGTCAGGACCCTACACGACGAGATCCTGACATTACGGCAGGTTCCTGCCACTGAGGTACACGGGACCACGGAGCAACAGCTCCGTGATGCCCTAATTTCGCTTCGTGATCACGTTGGTTTGACCAATCCTCAATTCAGAGAGTACCGCCACCACTTCCGAGTTCACGGCATGCTGTGCACTGCCGGGATGGCTATTGCTCAACGTCTTGATGCATCAGAGGGCCGTGTGCCAGCGCTTGAGAATCGAGTCTCCACGGTCGAGCAGCAGTTGTCTGACGTGCAGGCCGCACTGGCTGAGTTGCATGTTGTGCGGGCCCAGACAGCGCTGCTGGGCACCCCGACTTCGGTTCACGATTTCGCCCCCGTCGCCGCCGAGATGGCCGGGGTAAGGAAGGCGGCGGGCCGCGCGCAGTTGCGACTCACCCAGGCCTCCCGCGAAAGAGACGCTGAAAGGGCGCGGGCCGAGACTTTACCCACCCGTTTGGAATGAGAAACTAGAGCGCGAAGCACACAATCGACGTGCTCCCAGCGAGCTTATGACACCAACGGCGAGGTGCGTTGTCTACGACAGAGCATCGAGCAGTTGCAGAACGATCTCACGACCGCCGAAGCCACCTTGACGGCTCATGTTAGCGACGCCAAGATCCATGTCCCTTCGCAACCTCCAGAAACCACCTCCGACAATCGCCCAAACCTCGCCGATGGAAGCGCCCGCGCAGGACAACCGCGACGTACTTCGCCAGGGGCTGCCTCTGCAGCAGCCCCATCGCAGACGCGTGCGTCACGTATCTCCTGTGCGTGCATCATTGCCGACGCCGCCAATGTTGTCGCGGAAGTTTTCAAATTATTCTCATGGTGGCATTACTCCGATTGCGGAATCAGCTACTGTGGGCATTCCTCAACTGCCACGTTTTTCTCAGTCACGAGAGTGGCAACACATGGCCAGGGGAAATTTCGGCAATGCGTCAGGACGTCCTGCTAAGGCGTGCACCTTTCTCTGCGTTGCCGAACGCCCTGATGCTACATTTGAGGGCCTTCAAGACTGTGGCGACTTCGAGCATCGATTGCAAGGTCGCCGCTGGCCTTTCGGCTGTTCTTACTACTGAGCTCCGTTGCCGCATGAAGAACCTCGAAGCTCAGGGGCGCAAAGCCAGCCGCATGCTGAAAAAAGGCAGATCTAGTGGGTTAGCTTACAATGCTACACGGAAGGCAGCGACCCCATGCACGGCATGGAACGTCTCCATGCCATCCGCATGCGAGACGACGACATCCAACGGTTTGTCGTGGGTTTTGACAATTTCCTCTTTGAGTGCCGTGATCCACTGGACACGAAGGTACTCGAGTCATTGTTCCGATCTCAGATCGGCAGACGCCCATGGATGAAGTATGACATGCGCAACTATGACAACATGAAGATGGGCGACTCCAATCGCGCATGCGATTGGCTGCGAGAGCGTGTTTTGGCCAACGTCGAGATGCGCCGACTCGAACGTAAACGTCGCAACCTCAAGGACGGGGCGACTCGCCACGAAGTGGCCGTGTGCGTGGCGTACAAGGCAGGCCGTTGCAAAAACGGGGAACCGTGCAGACTGCTACGCGCTGGCTCCGGCAACCGCTCCACGCCGCGACCGCCCAGGCGCGCGTCGCAGGCCGGCGCGGGCGCCGTCGAGAAACGACCCTCCACGGGGCGAGGCGCGCGACGGCCGCCCGAAGACGGAGGTGCCAAGAACTTCTGTTTCTCCGTTGCAAAAACACGGCGCCTGCCTGCGACGGGGCCGGCGCAGATGGCCTCGCGCTGCAAAGTGCGGCTTCTTTGCTGACCCAGGCGGGCGCTGCGAGCTGGGCAGCGGCCGCCGCTGCGCCCGCGCTGCGTCTGGCACCGAGGCCCCCGAGAGGAGCCCTAGCCGCGCCTGCAGTCGTGGCGGCCGCAACAGGAGGTCCTCCCCGGACGTGCGGGGGATAATCGATGCCCCCCGCGCGGGGGGCGCCGGGGCTCGCGGAGTCCGAGGGGCCGCGGGTGGCCCCCGCGACGATCCCACTCCCCTTCGCGGGGCGGCAGCCGCGGGCGCAGTCGAGAATGTTCGCCCGGCAGCAGCAGCAGCGGCGGCAGCAGCGGGCGGTCGCCCTCGACGCGCTGCAGGAACCTCTCACCTGCAGCGCCGCGACGTGGCCAACGACGAGACCGAAAATGCGCGATTCATGACGAGACCTCGTGCCGCCGCGGAACCACGTCGCCGCTTGCGCGTCGACATCGACGTCATCACCTGCCCCGTGCCCGAGCGGCACCTGGCCAAACGGCGCGCTGACGCCAGCGAGGGTGGCCCCTTGTTGCGCCCGACCCGTTGCCGGACTGGTGGCTGCAGGGCCGCGCCGAGGCGCTCCAAGCTTGTCGGCGCGAGGCGCAGAAGTGGCGCGATGACCTTGCTAT